TCTGCGTGGTAAATCTGGCCATTCACACTGCGCTCTTGTACGAAAGCGTCATGTTTTCCGACACTGAAACCATCTCGGTTGTCTTCAATGTTGGCATAAAGTTTGTCCTCACCTCACTGATCGCCATCGGGATGATTTCATGCCTGCTGAATGTCATTCTTCGCCAGAGGATTTTCCAATTGCTCAAGTGCTTCAGTGAATTCGATTCTCAGGTACGTGAAAAACATGAGAGTATTTTATTTTGCCACGTAAACCAACAATAACCAGCGCGGTGGAGCTTCGAGGCTTTGTGCAGTGGTTGTTTAATTGCAGCTGAAGCCAAATTTGGAGCACTTTCACACCGCAATCGATTGACGTGCCATATTTTCAGGTCATGACCGTTGGCGGTCGAATAAATCACCAGAAGCACTTCGTTCTGCTGAGTTTGATGACCATCGGTGTGCCCTCGATCTTCTTCGCCTTTCTCTTCTCGGACGTCATCACTGGCGACATGTCCGTGTACAGATTCCTCGGCCTGGTTTCGCCGGTGATGAGCTTCGTGGTGACCAAAGGAACTTTCGTCTACTTCCTCATGTCGCTCAAGCTGCGCTTTCAAGTGCTGAACCAATGCTTCAGGGAGAATTTCTGCTCAGCCAAGAACTCTGTGAAGCTCGTGAAGAGCATTGATGCGAAAGAAAGTGCAGATCCTTCGCTTCTGGTTACCAAATTTGCCACTCTTCACGATAATGTGTCAGATGCAACGGAGCTGACAAGCCTCTGCTTCTCCTTTCAGGTTAACCACAAACTCCGGAGAGAGGATAATTCCTCTAATACATTTTCCTTCCAGGCAATGATCTTCACTGCTCTGTGCTTTGTCTACAACGTCTTCATTATCTTCTCCGCCTTTCGCGTGTGGATGCACTTCAATGAGGACTTCTTCGGTCTGGTCATCAGCAACATTCACTGGTCCTTTCTCACCTACGGATTCGTCGTGGGGGAAATTTACGTGGCTCACAATGTCACGAAATTGGTAAAAAGACAAATTTAATGAGATTAAATAAAAATCTTTGATCTCTGGTCGACTTTCCAGGGCAAGTACACCGCAAATCTCACCCACAAAGCCATTAATTTGACCACTGACGCCGCCAGCATTGAGAAGCTGAAGCAAATGGCAAATCAAATTAATCACAGGCCTCCGGTCATCAGCTGCGGGCTGTTCCTCTTCGATTGGACGCTCTTCTACTCTGTGAGTGGATCATGTTCTTAATTTGCAGTGAATCCCATAAACCGCGCTTCACTTTTGCAGCTCTGCGGAGCCTCCACAACATACCTGGTGATTTTGATCCAATTTGACGCCTCGATGATCCCCGAAGGAGACTTTAGGAACTCAACTCTGGCCAATTTAACATCATGAAAGAATTTTCAAGTCAGTTATGCTTCAAACAGTTCCTCTTCCCTTCACACATTTGGCCTCTGTATTCTTTCACTGGCACAAGAATGTCTCTAAATGCATAGCAAAGGCGGGAAATAATTCTTTTGGGTTCACATCTCAGCTAGAATAAAACTGTTTCCAACTGAAACAATGTGTCTACGCTGAATTATACTGAGAAAAATCCGTGTAGAATACATTGCATGCAATCAAATGTTTCGTGATGTCTTCAACATTCATGACCAATAATATTTCACAAATTTTACATTTCCCTCATAAACAACCCTGTTTGAAGATTAAAACCGGCATTTCCATGGTCAGTCTAGTCAAAATGGGTCAATCAATCGAAAGTGTCTTCGAAGTGACGCTTCCCATGAGGATTTTCTGCAAAATTTTCGGCTTTCAACTCTTCACAGTGTTCAAAAGTGACAAAGATGGCAGTTACAAGATCAAGACAACTTTAGCAGATATTGTTGGCTTTTTGTTCTCACTCATTTGCTATGGGACGATTCTAGGTGCAAATATGAAGTGGGATATCTTTGAAAAGTACAGTTCCTCGTTCTTAATCAACATGACAACCAGATACTTGGGCATGAGTGGCTGCACTATTCAGATTGTGAGTGTTCTGGTTAATCTGTACTTCAGGAAGACCAACTGGAAGCTACTTCAGTGCCTGCATCAATGTGACAGCATTCTGAGCATTCACAACATCAATCAGAACTTCACTCAACAGAAGAGAATCGTAGCTCAAGGTCTGGTGACAATTCTAGTTCTCTTCGCAGTGATGGCTGTCACAAGTCTCCTCATGTATGGTGATGTTAGTGGAATCACTTTAAAGACATACATTATTCACGTTGATACCTTCATAATGATGCTTTCTTACGTGGCGTTCATGATTCAATTCATCTTCATGCTGATGGTAATTCGATGGCGCTTCTCCACCCTCAATAACGCTTTTCAGTAATTGATTTCCAACTGGAATTTAGAATGATCAAGATGATTCTGACAACTCTATATCCCTAATCAGGAAACGCTTCAATCTGAGAGAGATACAAGAAACGACAGTGACCAAAGTAGACACACTCAAGCTCTTCTGGAAAGATGACGCTGACTTCATCACGGATCTGTCCATAATGCACGATTTACTAACAGATTCCGTTAGTCTTCTCAACTCTTGCTTCTCTGTTCAGGTGAAATGACTTCCTAAGATTGATTTCAATTAGGATTTTAATTAAAAAATTGTCTCTTAGGCGATGTGTTGGATGTGCGGGAGTTTTTGTATGAATTTAATGGGTTTCTACACTCTTTATCGCTTCGTGGTGCAGAAGCGTTGGGATCAGCTTGTGATAGCTTCCATATACACAATGTGGCAATGCTTTTGTTATATATTCGTGATTCTGGCCATTAAGGAAGGAAGCAACATAACTCGGCAGGTAAAATAATGAGTCCTTTAGTGTCTGACTTGAGTGGTAATTTAAACATCTTCTGCAGAGTCGCAAGATGGCAATTTTGATCCACAAAGCCATCAATAAACACATGGATTCGCCTCCGCTCACTGAGAAGGTAATAAACATTGATGGGATTCTTTGGAAGACTTTACAGGGATTTTTCATACTGATTTCAGCTTAAATTGCTCTCTCAACAACTTCTACACAGACGTCCGGAAGTCTCTTGTGGATTTTTCACCTTTGATTGGCCTTTTGTCGCCGCGACTGTTGGCGCCATGTCGATGTACCTTACAATCATGATTCAATTCGATGCAGTTGCATAAACCATCAGTAAAAGCATGGCTTGGATTACTCTTCTAAAAAGGCAGTCAAACATTTCATGATTAAAATGTTTCGTTTTTCGTGATGATGTCTTTTGAATAAATAACATCACGATATTCTATAACTTTTTCCAACTAATTTCAAGGGTGCGATTGTAGGTTTTGTGGTCAGTTTAGTCAAAATGGGCAAACAGATTGAAAGTGTTTACGAAGTGACGCTTCCCATGAGGATTTTCTGCAAAGTTTTCGGCTTTCAACTCTTCACGGTGTTCAAGAGTGACAAAGATGGCAGTTACAAGATCAAGACGTCCCGCGTGGATATCATCTGTTGCGTCCTTTCATTGATTTGTTACACCGTTTTCTTGGGATTGAATATCAAGTGGGATGTCTTCGAAGGCTACAGCAGTTCATCCACTATCAATCTGATCAGCAGATTTCTCGGCATTTGCGGCTACACTGTCCAGGCTGTTGGCGTTCTCGTCAATCTCTTCTTCAGAAAGTACAACTTGAAACTTTATCAATGCATCCACAAATGCGACACTATTATGCGCATTCACAATATTGATCAGAATTTCACTCGTCAGCACAGGATATTCGTGATCAGCATTGTGGCAATTTTAGCCCTCATGATCGTTCTAGGCTTCGCAACTCTTCTCGTTTACGGCGATGTTGCCAGCGTTAGTACAATGCGCCATTTGACTCACTTATACGTCTTTATAATGACCCTTTCCTATGTGGCTTTTATGCTTCAATTCAACTTCTTACTCATGATAATTCGATGGCGTTTTTCCGCCCTCAACGAATCCTTTCGGTAAAATTGATTTAATACCCAAATTATATATGATATTAACTTTATCACAAATGAAATTAGGAAACGTTTCAACCTAGAAGGGATTCAGGAATTTGCGGTGATAAACATAGACAATTTCAAGGTTTTCTGGAAGACAGATACAGCTTTCATCGCTGACTTGTCTGTAATGCACGATTTACTGAACGATTCAATGAGTCTCCTCAACTCATGCTTCTCTATTCAGGTGATTTTAGATTCTGAATGTTAGATTTCGCTTAAGGCAGGCAAGAAATTGTGTCTTCCTTCTCAGGCAATGTATTGGGTTTGTGCATGTTTTGCTCTAAATGTGCTAGGCTTCTTCACTCTCTACCGTTGTGTCGTTCAGCATCTTTCGGATCAACTTGTGATAGCTGCAGTCTACACAATGTGGCAGTTTTTCAACTACACGTTCGTCATTCTGACCATCACTTTAGGAAGTAGCATCACTCGATAGGTATGATAAGAATTGACTTTGTAAATTTAATTCAACAAACATAGAAATTTCGGATATTCTGGCTTCAGAGTCGACAGACAGCGATACTTATTCACAAGGCTATCAATAAGCACGTTGATTCTCCTGTGCTCACTGATAAGGTAATGAAATGTTTTATCTGCATAATGTCAATTCATATTGATTCTTCTGGTATTCTAGCTGAAGTTGATTTCTCATCAACTTCTGCACAGACGTCCGGAAGTCTCTTGTGGATTCTTCACCTTCGACTGGCCTTTTGTCGCCGCGACTGTTGGCGCCATGACAATGTATTTGTCCATCATGATTCAATTCGATGCAGCTGAATGAAGAAGTTCATTCCGTGAAAATGATTCATTTTCAATACACCAAATTCAGCACGAAAGTTTTCTCTCTAAGTGGATTGGTAAATATTGCATGATCAACGTGTTTCGTGACGACTTGAATAAATTATGACTAATAACATTACACAATTTTTCATTTACCTTTAATCCCATTTGGGATTTATTTGGTCAGTTTGATTGAAATGGCTAAATCAATCGAGAGTGTCTTCGAAGTGACGCTTCCAATGAGAATTTTCTGCAAAGCTTTTGGCTTTCAACTCTTCACAGTGTTCAAAAGTGAGAAGGAAAGTCAGAAGATCAAGGCATCCTCAATAGATATCATTTGCGGCATTTTCTCATTCACTTGCTATGCTGTGGTTTTGGGAGTGAATATCAAGTGGGATATCTATGACGGATACACTTCTTCGCTCAGCATGAACTTGATCAGCAGATGCATCGCAATATATGGCTCTCTGGTTCAAGCTGTTGGCGTTCTTATCAACATCTACTTCAGGAAGTGCAATTTGAGGCTGCTGCAAAACCTCCACAAATGCGATTCCATTATGCGCATCCACAATATCGATCAGAATTTTGCTCGTCAATACAGAGTTATCCTGCGCGGTGTGATTGGATTCGTGGGTCTAATGATGTTGTTGGCCATCACGACCCTTCTTCTACATGGCGATGTTGCTGGCATGAGTGCAATGCGCCACTTGTGCCACACAAATGCCTTTGTCATCACCATTTCTTACGTGGCTTTTATGCTTCAATTCATCTTCACGCTGATGGTAATTCGATGGCGCTTCTCCACCCTCAATAACGCTTTTCGGTAAGTGATAGACATTCAAGCGATTGACTTGAATAATATTGACAAGTTTCTCATTCAGGAAACGCTTCAGCTTGGGAAGAGTGCAGGAATTCTCCGTGAGAAAAGTGGATGCTCTCAAGCTGTTTTGGAAGGAAAACGCTGTTTTCATCACGGATCTGTCCATAATGCACGATTTACTCACAGATTCCGTCAGTCTTCTTAACTCTTGCTTCTCTGTTCAGGTGAAATGACTTAAGCTAGATATTTAAAGAGGTTTAATGGAATATTTAAATTACATATTTCAGGCAATGTGTTGGATTTGTGCCAGTTTTGGCTTAAATGTTCTAGGCTTCTACACATTCTATCGTTGTATCGTGCAGAATCGCTGGGATGAACTTCTGATAACTGCAATCTATGCAATTTGGCAATCTTATGACTATATGTTTGTGCTTCTGGCCATTAAGGAAGGAAGCAACATAACTCGACAGGTAAAATAATGAGTCCTTTAGTGTCTGACTTGAGTGGTAATTTAAACATCTTCTGCATCAGAGTCGCAAGATGGCAATTTTGATCCACAAAGCCATCAATAAACACATGGATTCGCCTCCGCTCACTGAGAAGGTAATAAACATTGATGGGATTCTTTGGAAGACTTTACAGGGATTTTTCATACTGATTTCAGCTTAAATTGCTCTCTCAACAACTTCTACACAGACGTCCGGAAGTCTCTTGTGGATTTTTCACCTTTGATTGGCCTTTTGTCGCCGCGACTGTTGGCGCCATGTCGATGTATCTTACAATCATGATTCAATTTGATGCAACAGCAAGTGCAACAGCGAGCAGTGCTTGATCTAAATAAGAAGTTGAACTCACAAAGTGTTAGAATTGAATGTGCGCAAGTCAGGCATGGATTTCTCTGAGTGTCTTTAGCAGTGACACAAACCAATTTGAGCTCAGTTTCGACACTGTTTTTAACTATGAATTTCTTATTGAGCGGATGCGGAATTCCCCTTGTACTTTTTCATGCCATTTTCCTCACCTCACAACACACTCAATTACAATTGCTAATTGCCGATTGCTTCACGCACGACAAGCACAGGACGAGAGAGGGTGAAAAACTCGCGTGGAAAACGCTCAATTTCCAGGTGATTAAATGTTTAGGGTTGAGTTGAAAAATTGCCAGTCGTATTTACATAAATCTTTTCTCTTTATTTCTCATCAATTAGGGTAGAAGGTATACAATAGATCCTGTAAAAAATGCATTTCTCTTCCTATAATCTCCACACTTTTTTCTTCTCTCTCATCTAAAATATCAACTTGAGACTCTTGACTGAGTCGCATTTGTCGAATTTATTTTACGTTCTTTGACTTTGAAAACCATCTTTAGAAACTCCCACAAAATCCTCACGGCCATGAGGCTGAGGAAGAAAGACTTTGATCTCTCAATATTGCTCTGCTCCCGAAAATGCAACTTGTTTTTGCAAACAATTGAGACGAAAAATCAATTTCTCTTCACTTTCCTTTTTTTTCTTCGATAAAACTCATTGGGATTTTTTTCTCTTCTTTTTACACGAAAATAATAATAATAAAAAATACTCGCTAAGATTAGTGTACAGTCTATCTTTTTTCACGATTCATCATCATAATTCTTTCACTAAAAGTGTGTTAAATCATTTAAAAAAGAGTTTTCAATCACATTAAATTTCATCATCTCCCTTTGCTCTTTTTCTCTCTCTCTTCATCTACTTAAATAGTTGGTTTTAATAAAATGACAATGACATTAAAATGGAAAGATATAAATTTTGAGAAAAGGTCTTTGCTCGAAAAGGACTTGAATTGTGCCATTGAATTCACCTAAATACATTCTATAATAGTAATGATTTTCCCTCCCATTTTGCACTTCCCTGTACGTATTCACGAGATTATTTACACTTTGCTTGTTCTCATGCTTTTCTCTGTGTAGTAAAAAAAAAAAGGAAATTAAGCGTTAATCGCCCCGAACGTGTCAGGGTGAGAAGTATAAAACGGATAAGCAGTGTTACAGACATTAAGTATTAATAAGTGAATTAATTAATTATCCTTTAAAATGACACATTTTGAACAATTACATTTGATGGACAATTCTATGGGCTCTTTTCTCCCTTATAAATTAAGAGTGCATCATTTCTTTCTGGCACAGTTTCTACAGCGTGTCTCGGAGAAGGTGTCGCAGAAGTTATATTCTGCAACAACTCACTATCGACCGCCCAATTTTTGTTCATCTCTTTGTATCTCATCTTGGCTAAAATTACAGTGAATGAAAATTTGAATTGTGTGTATTTTTTTTGTTTCCTACAATCAAACTAGCGCACATTTCCGTTTTAAATGTTATAAATAAATTCATAATTTAAAAATTAAATAATTGTAAAAATTTATTTCCTATTAAAATTGTATCTTTATCTCACACTCATACAACAACACAAAAATCATAGTTTTTATTCTCTTCCTCTCTTGGCGCGCGCACTTTAAACACTGAGAACATCCAAGAGTGTGTGCTTCTTCTGTGCCACAATTGGTTTCCGTTGACAGAGGGTGTGTGCCTTTTATACATTACAATAAATTTATGCTCCGCAACCTCGTTCGTCACTCTCCAACACGAGGTCCAATAAACAAACAACAACGTCACACTCTCCACATCCACTGGCCGCACACACACTTTCCGGGCGGCCGCGACTTCACTTCCGCCCGCGAATTTCATTAAAATAAAAACGCCTATCGAGTGTATCAAAATAAAAATAATAAAGTTTATCACAGCAATTCGGCGAACATGCCTCCGAACCAGGCCATAAAGATGGGGAACATGTACGTGACCAGCGCGCGCCCGATGGACATCTCGGGGATACGCGTGGCGCCGCTCTCCGTGCCGCCCTTTGGCTCCAGCTCGTTGAAGTGCGTGTCCTCGGGCGCATCATCGTCGCCCGTCCGCGGCGGCGACGGTAGCTCGTCGCGCCCGCCGGCAGGATGCGACGCATTGCCGGGCAGCGAATCGCGTCCCGGCGAGATCTCATTGTGCGTGATGTGCGGCGGAATGTGCGCCTCGAAGTCATAGCCGCCCATCCCAGAGCCGCCGGAGTCCTCGTCGTCGTCCACGCCGCTGCCAGAGCCGCTGCCGTATTCGCCCTCTTCTGCAAAACACGCCACACAAAAGACCAACAATTAGAGCACATTGAGAAATTCATGAGCATTGCAATGTTGACAAATCAGGACTCGATTGAAGTGAAATCGATATTGTGATTCACTAATAATTCTTAATTGACCCAATTGACATTCCCGATAGTGAGAGCTTTCCAGAAGTTCCTGCTTTTCATTTGTCAGTTTAAATAATTTAATTTAATTTATTAACGTTAATCCTGACAATAATAAGCAATAGAATAATTAATGAATGACTTAAAAATAAAACTCGTAAATTCGGCTGGTAACTTGTCTTTTTCGATTACTTTTCACGAAATTCTTAGGCTTGAATATTTTTCCTGCCTGTTTTAAAAAGATTTTGATTGATTTTCAAAGAAATTTTGAATTTGTGACTCTATTTTATCCCTTTAAAATAGAGTATTTGTCCAAAAATTAACTTTAAAGACTGTATTTTCGATCTCTTGCTTACCCTGATCGCTCCACTCCACGTCGAGACCGTTGTAAGCGTTCTTCAGTTGACTAATTGACGTCCTCAAGTTGTAAAGCTGGGCGTCCAGGATTGCGCCCCGGCGCGCAGGCGTGTTGCCGGGAAACTCCGGATTCTGCTTGTTGTCTGAGATCACCGGATGAAGATACCTGCAAAGCGCCCAGTCATTAGACTCCTGCGCATCTACCAAGGCCTGCAGAGACTTACCTGTCGACAGCATGCCCGTTCCAACAGTAGTCCTCCATCGAGGGCGCCGCAGCCAAGTCTTCATTATTGCAGATTTGGTAGGGCAGATTGGACCAGAAGTTCTTGGTGTCCTTCACCTTCTGCCGGATGTCTTTGATCAGCTTGTCCAGCACGGGCTCCTTGCTGTAGTCGTCGTCGTAGTTGTCGCCCTTCCTGGCCTTGTTGCGGTTCTTGTTCTTCTTCCCCTTGCGGCCGTTCTCGCTGTAATTGTCGCTGTTGCTAAAACGCAACGGCTCGAACTTGCTCAATTCTTGGCTCGTCGGCTCAGCCGAGCGGCTCTGTCGCGTTGTCTCCTCATCGTCGAATGTGAAGCCCTCCGGGTCGGTGACCTGGCGTCGCTTTCGGCCCAGCATCGGTCGCCCACAGCCCTGGAACACCTGGTTCGAGATATCCTTGTTCGTCTCCTGGAAGTTCATGATCGCCTCGGAGATTTTGATGTTGATCGGCTCCACGACCATCACGACGTTGAACGGGCCGAGCAGGCGATCTGACAGCTTCTCCATGGATGTGAGGAAGTTGTCCCACTCGTGGTCCATCTCCATGTGATGCTGCAGACAGCCCTTCATCACGTTCACGCAGTAATTGGCGCAGGGTTTGGCCGTCTGGCCGCTGCACACGTTGCACTGCATCTTCGTGAGCGCCATCACGCACTCCGCATGCGGCTTGATCTGCAAGACACAACAATCAAATTACGCGTCCACGCAAACCACCTCCAGCCATCAACCCACATTCATCATGTTCTTCACGATGTCGGCCGCCGTGGCCAGCGATTGAGCGTAGGTTCGCGTCGCCACGAAGGAGCGCTTGATCTGCACGGACAACTTATCGGGCACATCGCCGAACGGCTTCAGCTGCTTCATATGTTCACTGACACAGCCCAAGTATCTGCAAGGCAAATCAGACATGAGGTCAATTGCAACAGAGGCACAACAATCCAATTGATTCATCCTCAGCTGCGCTGGAAGAATTAACTTTGCCCACACTCTCTCGTGTGTCTCAATTAAGTGGCATTCAATTGCACCGCATTTTTTAATCATTCTGTTTTGATGTCTCCTTAAGCCATTGACGCATCTCAGAGTGCTCGTGAGATGCTAAATTCGCCTCAAGTGCCAAAATCAGAGGTGACAAACTGAGGCGCAAGACTCTCATCAATTGCCGCATATTTCGCAAGATCAACTTGTAAAGCCGACAGTTTGATAATTGAAATTTGACCTGAACTTCTTAAAAACCAATTGAGGCCGACGCAAGCAAACTCCGGCCTATCGAAGTCTATTGAAAGGCCGCACAGATATTTATCTCTTTTGTATAGACAATCTTCATCATCTTCTCATGAGTCACAACAAGTGACTTGAGTGTTATTTTTAGCCATTGGGCTTTCGGCTCTCGCGAGCCCGTCTGGATCATCTGCCTCCCAATGAGTTTATTTGGATTTATTCTCGTCCATTCATTATCTCCACTCGCGGGCATTTATTTGCACCAATTAACCATGTATAGGATTCTCATTAGATGGCTATCATTCTCGACTGCCAGCCAAGGCGGAGATAATCTAATCGACGGTGGTATACAATTAAGTGCTAAAATTTTGGAAGAGACTTCGATTTAGTCAATAAATATCCCAAAAAAGACATAAATTCTGCTTCTAAACTGTACTAATTTCCACATTGCACAAAATCTATGTATTTTAAAAGCTTTTAGAGATATTTTTCAGGTTTAAGAACAGAAAAAAAATCACTGAAACTGTGATTTTTAAGTGATAAGTAAGAGCTCAAGTGTAGAAGCTCAGAAATGGCAAAAGTTCAGCATTATCTCCCCCTTGACGATCAATTTCGGCTGCGAAGCTGTTAATCTGCCCACCCAAAGCGCCTCTACTCACTTGTCGTCGAAGGTGAACTGCGAGTTGAGGACGGTGAACATCTTCTGGTAGAGGGTGTTGAAGAAGGAGTCCATGGCCTCGGACAGGTCCACCTTCCCCCTGGCGTAGTAGCCCTCGAGCTCCGTGAACAGGTCGGAGAACACGTACGAGTTCTGCTCGTAAATGGCACCGTAGGTCCTCTTGAACATGGCGTGGAACTCCTTCTTCGACTCCGACAGCAGGTCTTTGAAGTAATCTACGGGAAGATAGATGGGTTATTTGGGCATATCAGGTTCTCTCCAATGATGATGACTTCATATCGCAAGAATTGCCGCGACTCCTCTTTGTCATCCGGCGCGATTAGCTCAACATTCTCACACCCACTGAGCCTCTTGGAGAGAAATCTCAATATTATTCGCTATTTATCGGCGAGACGATTGCCACTTGCCATGTCTGCTGGACAGTGTCTGCGGTGAACGCGAGAAAAGTGGTTCGCCTTCGAGATATTTTGCGGTTATTGACGCTCAACCATATTACCTCATTGTGATTCAATTAATTGCTCATTGTGGGAAAGGGAGTCACTGCGCGATCATTTTCCCAACATGCGTCATGCCTTTTATCGGCTGTGCCGAACAAGTGAATTGATTGCATGGAATTTAATTTAACTGACAACCCAGGGAAGCCCACTTGTCACACTCTGCGCTTCATCACAGACATTTGGCTCGACGCAAAAATTGCTGATTGCTTCATCGTCAGCGTATTCTCTTAAGGGTTTCACATTACCAAAATAGCACATTAAGTCACAAGCCAGCGCTTGATATCGGAGAAGTGATACAGCAGTTGCTGTAAATAAATAAAGATCGGCGGCAGAAGCGAGTTTAAATTGATTTTTTCTTCAACGATCTCCAGTCTTAAGTTTGTACAAATGGCTCAATAACTTGTATAAACATATTAATCGACAATTTATGGAATCGCTTGTGATAATCTAGAGTGAAAATCTAGCGGTTTTCATCACTGATGAAGTATTTCAATCACGTCAAATTGTAAATCATGATCACTCTAGAGCCACGCCCACTCTTTTGCCCCGCCCCGGGCGCTATTTAATTGCCATTAAAAACCACAGTTCATTGACTAAAATCACACTAAATATGCATGAACGGATGGATAAATTGGATACATTTGACTGGAAAGGCTTAGAAGACAGTTTAGTCACTCCTCAATTGACTCTTCCTTCACACAATTTCCTTTATCAGTGCGCCTAAAAAAATTTCGGTAGCATCGGAATGACGCTTTGCCCACTATCAATCAATTGAGTGAGCTCAGAGGCATGATAGATTTGAGGCAATTTCCTCGTAAAATAACTGATTAACTTGAGCCACATTGTGGGTCACACTAGAGTAGTGGTTGAGTATTTTCCAAGCAATTCGTCACATTGAGGTTTTATCTAATCTCCTCGTCCAATGCACACAGAACGCCTAATCGTGCCCAAAACTTTGATGATATTTGAGGTGAAAGAGTGTCGCTTTTGTACGCGCAAGGCGAGCAAATTGTGACTACAATGAAGCCCAAGATGCGCACAAAAAAGAGAACCTCTCTAAAAATATATCGAAGCAATTGCATTGTTATGTGAAAGCCCGAAAGAAGATTGTTGTGGAGAGAATGAAGAGAGACAGGAAGAACACAAGAGTTCATTCATGGGAAGACGACGACGCGCAGTGAAACCTCATCCAGCTCATCTCCCGATATCATTTACAAATTGCATCAATTGAAATTGAAATTATAACAAGAGCCGAGGAGTTCATTGTCTATTTTTAAACATCGCGCAGATGGAGAGACGTAAAAAGTGCCAGATTCCATCTCGAAAGTGCATCCAGAGCGTGGAGCAAGAAGATGCCTCGATGATAAACGAGAATGAAGTTGTTATATATTGAGAGCAGCCAGGAAATGGCCGAAAAAAAAGAGAGAAGAGAATTTCAATCCCGAGCTTCCAAATGGCAGTGAATACGATCTAGTCCTGAACTCCATTGAACTGCGGCATCATAAATACATTAACAGTTTACTTGCACGGGAGAAGCCCTGCCATGACTGAGGAGGAGAGAGAGGCATTTGTGTACAACATTTTATAATTGTGCGTTTAGTTTTTTTTCTGAAATTATACTTGTAAACTCGAGATCATTCTCTTATTATTCCCTCTGCACCAACACACACACCCACAAAACCACCCATGCAATCGCAATGGCAGCTAAATGGAGCCGTGCGTGAGGTACAATCTTTCCAGCGAGAGATGTCTGTTTATTTTCTCCAACGAACATTATTATCATCACAAATATAAACACAGGAGGAGCCTTCAATTCTTCAATTCTCGCCGGATTTCTTCGGAGGCCCCCCAAAAACTCGTGCGCGTCTTGCGAGACAAATTTAAAAATCCCTCTCACTCCCACTCACAATTACACTAATTGGAAGATTAGGCATTTAGATTATGAGGACGCAATTGCAAAATTCCCCTCCCTGTTATAGAGAAGAAACAGCTTTGAAAAGACTCAATAAACATCACCAGTTTCCACACGAGAATGTTTAACCACTGCAGATTTACTTTATGGCACTTCTTTGGATAAAGTTTCACAAAGTAAATTGGATTGCGAACATTTTGTGTGGAAACTTTGAGGAGCAGAAGTATAATAAAACGTGCTAGAATTTGTAATTTGTCAGAAGATCTTCAAGCGTCTAAATGAATTTGATATGTTAAAATTGTGTTGTGCTAAAGAATATCAATTGGAAGCTTTGCGGACACACTCAAAGGCTCTTGATCAATCACACAACTTCATCTCCACTCGAGAACTTTTGCAATTCAACTTATGAAATGGCCAAGGGACAGATATTATGGTCAGAATTGGTGTACAGCTTTTTATCTTGCTATATTGTTATGTGATTGATTTAAAATCGATTCTTACGATTAAATAAACATCAAAATCATCAAAATTGTATTTAAACTGGGAATATTTATCTTGGCAAAGTTGAACATTTCTGCTCAAAATAATTTCATATTGGATTACAAAAAGCTTAGAAGTGAAACATAACCTCTCACAAACATCATTACAGTGTAGAAAAATGTGTCTGTGCTTAATAATCTCCGCGATTTGAGTTTAAAAGTGGCAAATTCAACTTCAATTTCTGGTAGAAACTTTTCAATATTCTCCATATTTACTATGGTAGTCCAAGAAGCTTTTTTCAGTTGCACAAAACTAGAAAATCAAGACAGAAATTTGTCATGAATAAATCCTGGGACATTAAAATCATTTTTCCCAATCTGAAATCTAAGCACATGAAGAACTTTAACCTCTTAAGAGGGAAAACCCTGACGGAAAATGTCTTTAAAAGCATTCAGAAGTGTTTTAAGTGCTAAATATTTCAACACAGGCATTAAGATAGTATCAAGAAGTGGTGTACAGATTTAAGGCAAACTATCTCCGCCTTGCAAACACTCAGTGAGAAGAACTTGAAAAGCTCTCGACAAACGCGAAGAAGCGGCGTGGAAAGGTCAAGTTCTGCATTTGGCTCCTTTCTCTCGCTGCAATCTCTCGCCACACAATCTGCAGGTCGGATCCCGCAGATCTCAGGCGCTTCGTGGTGGCAATTAGACGGGAAATGAGGCTAGATATCGAGCTGTGGCCCCAATTCACTTACCATTGAACTTCTGCGCGCGGCTGTGCAGCACTGAGGCTAATTTGCCAATTAACTCTTTGGTCTGTCTCTCCATGTGCAGCCTGGAAACGTCGGCCAGGCGCGTCTCCATGTTGTAGGAGCAACACGTGCCCGCGACAGGAACTGAGCAGTACTTCAGGGGCAAATCTGGAAGGGAAGAGAGAAAGAGGAGAAACGTCAGGCACACTTTACACTCTGTGTGACATTCTCAGATGCGCAGCATCAGAGAAATTTCTCAAGCGTGTGTCGGCATGTCTTGAGAAAATCCCTCGGAAAACACCTTTATCTTGCCACACTGAGGCCGAAGCAAAAGGGCGACAAAGAAGACGCTCAATATTTGCTCAAAGCCATTTAATAATGAGGCACAACAGCACAGAAATCTTGGTCACTGCGCCGCTCTTTTCTTACCCTTGTTGAAAAACCGCACTCATATTTCATGCCCATAAATTCCAATTAAATGCTGTAATCTCAAATTAATCCACATGGCAGTTCCAGTCGCACAATCACAGGCTTTTCTCCACACTCGAATTCCATCATCTGGCGCTCTTTTTCCCCACAAAACACAACTTTCTGAGGTATTTTTCTCTGTCTCTCTCTCTCACTCTTTGATTCGCGCGAAATGACGCTGCAACTTGTCTTATCTCCCATTGAACTCCCTCTCTCTCCCTCAAGACACATCCATTCCCATTTGGTAGACAAATGAAGATCTCTCAGAGTGTTGCTTCCCTATCAAAAACTTGCGGAGGAAGAGGTTTTTCTTTGCAGACGCGAAGGAATTAATTTCAATTAGACCGCCACTGAGAACATTCCGGCTTTTTTTTTATCTCGCACTCTCTTTCTCACTTTATTCTCTCCCATTTTCTCCTCTGGCCACTATTCATCTGTACAGTGCGAGCATTGTTTCTAGACTCACAATGGTTTGCGGCGCAACGTTTCAAGTCTGACAGTTACGAAGTTATGATTAAAGAAGCAAATTTGCTTAGATAGACTAAAATAAATATTTACTTCACAAATTGACTATTTGTATTGGCGATTTTAGGGCTTTATTGCAGAAATATATGTTTAAAATTAAATAAAGAACAGTGCTTTCAGCTGGATCGTTGTGAAAATAATATGTAAAACTTCGACTGAGCTTTCTTATATTTACAACGATAAAATGAATGCTTTTTTCGCTAAAATCGCAAATTTCATGCCAAAATTGTAAATATTCGATTATTATACACGGTTTTGCATAAATTACCATCAATTGACTCACGAATTATGGTTGTTTTCCTAACCTGAATGTCTGCCTGAATAAATCTTTTGGCCACTGTCCGAGCCTGAGAACCTATCAGAAATTTATCCACATAATAGCGCAGAGGCGCGGGCAGAAGAGCATGAAATGTTGGAGAATGAGAGACGGAGATTGCCACAAATGGAGGTGTGAATAGGTGTCCAGTGGGATTTTTTTTTCACCGCGTCCAGAATCTCACACTGTGTCTTTGGAAGGGCGCAGTTTGAACCAACAGTCAATCCATTGTATTTATTAGCATCTCTATTAATTCCATGCCTCTCCTCGCGTCTAATTTAATGAAATGTGCGTCTCTCGTGTGAACAGCTTCGCTCTCTTGGCAAACGCCTCAAAAGCATATATTGGTTATGTTAGGGTGGCGATGCTAAAAATATGCTGTATGAAATTCTATGGTGCACAGAAGATTGATTTTACGCAAAAATTGTTTCGCGTGAAAACCCTTTTTTTCCCCGATCAAAACCACATAGGGAATTTCTTAAAAGGATTTTATCCACGGCAAAACCACACACAATTCCCCTGGAGGTTGCGCGGCAACATCGAGCCTTTTATTAAAGAGTCTTCAACACCGCGATGCCATCAAAGTAATTGAATGTCTAATTGATTTTTCATCGAGAGTGCTTCGCCGACGAAGGAAATTTAGACATTAAATTGCAATATTTATATCCCTATTACTTTGCCAACGAGGGAAGCTCTTCTATGTGACTTTAATGGAGCGCCATTGAGCCGCCAGGTAACAAGTCTTGAGCCATTCTGCGGAGAAAATTGCCATCAGCGAGTGCAGCGCTGAAGCCAAGGGGGAAATAATGTAGTTGAACCCCAAGTACAGTTAGAAAATGAATTTTACCTTCATTTTTGGTGTAAAGTTTCCTTATTCAATCATCAAGACAACCAAAGTTTCAACATTTTTGAAAGAATCTTCTCAAAATCGCTGTCTTTCATATCTTCCTCGATCATCAAAGTTCCTCCTTGACTCACAAACAACTCAAGCAACTCCTTGTCATTTGAATTCGGTCTTCACGGTCGGCAAATTGTCGGATGCCTCAACATGTGCGGGATGTGGGAGGAGAAAAAGACCCCAAGAAACACTTGACTAATAACCAACCCGCCAATTGACAATAAAATGATAATTAGTGGCATTTCACGTGCGGTCTTTTTGTACCTGTCCAACCGCTAAGCCAAGAGAGACGCGCGGTGAAAAGAATTTATTCACAAAATATGCAAATGGTCTCAGTTTCTTTCTCATTGCTCTTCGGAATTTTCGGACCCGCGTGAGTATGAAAATGTTTTTTCGGTTATATATATAAAAATACGCGTGGGATTCTTTTTTTCCTCCCAGTTCTGTGATGTGCACAAGAAGCGCAACAAAAGTCTTTGGTGGAGGAGAAGAATCGAGCCAAGAATTCCTTTTCCCAAGTTTTACCTCTTTTTGCGTTACATATAATGCAGTATTTATTTCATTTTGCGCCTCACTCCACCTTCTTCAGCTATTTTATTACTCGTTTCCATCTTCATCCTGCTTCCAAACCACCTTCTTCGGCTGCACACACCGGCGACCGTTCGTCCCACGAGACCGCTTAATATCTGTGGCCAAGCGCGAGCGCCTTCGGTGTGGTGATAAATGACACGAAAATCGATAAAATTCTACTCATTCACATGCCGGAGTGTAATTAAATGTAATGAAAAGGAGAGATTCCCGAACCGAGAGCCCCTCGAGATCCATCAGCGCTCTTGAGATCGCACAAGAGAGCAAACATCTTCAGCTGAGCAGTAAATCACTTAAGACCAAGATATCTGATTGGGAAGCGAAGAAGCTCTGTGAGTGGATGGAAAGATCTGCAAATTGAGCGGGAAATCAGGTAAATCAAATATCATGACTCGGAATGAAAGTTAAGAGACAATAACCATGAAACTCTGATATGCGCGCACTCAAGAAGAACGCAAGAATGTTTCATTTTCCTCATGAATCCGCTATGAATATTTTGTGAGAGGCTTTTTACTGACCTGATAAGTGACGCAAAACCTATATTTTTGTCAGAAATAGGGGAGAATTCTTCCTTCACGCGTCTTGAGGGGGCAAAAGAACCGTCATTCAAGACACAAGTTGCATTGAGTGGATCGAAAGACAGGTTCGCTAGATGCAAAGATCAGGCGGCATCAACAGCGTGACACGCCATCAATGAACTCATTGCAGGAATGCTCTTAAAATTCCTGCTGAGTGTAGAATATTAAGCGGCCACTATGACAGTAGTAAAATGACCTGAGATGGGTATAAAAAGCCCCCGTGCAACAAAGTGGAGGAGAAGAAGATGCATGAATGTGTCGAGGGTCGTTGGGTGTTACACATATCGCTGCACGCATTTTGCCGCACTCGACGCGCGATGGTGAGGAAGAGCGAGACGGAGAGCCTGCGGAGGAATTTCACAAATACAGAGAGGAGAATTAAGGAATTCAGCTCTGGGATCGACCAGTTTGGTCAGTCAGGTTTTCGGTGAGAGCAGAGATGCAACCATGGGGATGACCTGAGGGCGAATCGGCGTGCAAAAATCCAAAACCACCTCCATGTTTCAATTAAATCACCTGGGAAGATTTGCGCCAGCATTCCGCGATGCCCATCTTCGGCACGCGGGACAAAAAGAAGCCCTTCTGCCGAAGACTCCTGGCAACTCAATTTGCGAGTTTGTCAATTTTTTCGGTCGCAGATCATCAAGAAAAAATGAGCAGCTCAGAAACAGCTGATAAAGTCTCTATCGCGGAGTGATTTCACATGAAAGAAGAGCGAAATACAAGTGGCGTAATTAATTCCTTATCAATGCAAGCATGGCTCAGATTGCTTATCAACCATATGCACTCTCATGCTGGCGAATGCCAATGTATACAGAGCCCCATAAGCTTTCACCATAAAGAATGGCAATAAAATTCACACAAGATAGCTCAATAAATTGACTGTGGCCGGTGGAAGTTAACAAAGGCTGGAATTCTTTGATGGTTTTTATTGGCAAACTTTGGCGTTTCTTGACCTCTTTTTGCCGCACGATCGTGAGTTTTGCCACAGCCTTTTTTCTCTTTCACTCTCCTAAATGTCTAATCTACAGTTTAGACTCCGCTCTCAGTGATAAGATTGATGGAGAGGCAGTGAGATTTTATGCCTCTTTTCGGGGTGTTTTATTGCCCATGTCGAAGAGTGTGCGCGCTTCTTCGGGATGGTAAAAATTGTCGTCACTGTGTCAATAATTGCACCATCCCTCAGTATATTTCCAAGGGGGAAATAGAATGGCTTGAACTCCTTCGGAAAATCTTCAAATATATCTCAAGAAACAGTCTGAGACGTTTAAATAAAAAGTTAAGTTTAAAATAACCATAAGAAGGATTTAAGAATTATTTAGAGCTTTTTAAGGCCCAAGATAAGGTTATTTAGTGCATTATCAATCAGAAACACACTAGAAAGTCTTCAAAATAGACATTTTTCAAATCAAAAGCACTACTTCTGAGATTATGTTTGACTTTATTTGCACTGTTTCTTATAGCCTTTATTGGTAGAATCCTAATCTTTGATTCTACCAGTAAATAAAAATTATTCTAACGTAGGAAATTGATGTTTTTGCGACTTCTTGATCTATGAAGTCTGGTAAGATTCCTTTCTAGTACTCCTGACGACGATATCTCCCCCTTGCGTGCTTCCAAAGTGGAACCTCCACTTGACAATGCCAAGTGCCATGAGACAAGTGCAGGAGGGCGAAGAGAGAATCCCAAGAAAATGTCTAATAATTGTAAAGTACTTTATGCCCTGTTACCGCCTCAAGGATGTGATTTTATCCGGATTACTTGACAAATAAGAGGGCTCATTGTGCACTGAAAG